ACGACTGGCATGCCTCCACGTGCGCACTTTGCTACAGATTGGCCAACAGGCAGCACTTGCCCGAACACTCGAGACCCTATCGATCGATATTTGTTATTCATCGCGACCGCGTCTGCAATATTCGAGCTCCGTGCTTACCCTGCGAACCCCCACTAGGGACACTGGCGGGACATCCTCATTGCACCTGTTGTCAATGACGCAGCTTCAAATGCAGTTCAAGCTGGGTCAGCATTGATTTGAATCCCCGGGCTGAAGCTGTCTTGACCGACGGGATCCCAGTCGAAACGCAGATGTGCGCCGTTTGCTTAGCTGGCTCGTTCCAACCTACGAAGTCGCGCTAGAACAAAACGGTACCTGTTCGTTATTGAGGCTTACACTCCTACAAACTACAGCTCTGATTCGGTGGAAGTTGATTTCTATCACTAATTCAACGATATCCTTCGATACAGAAGCCGCACAGATACTGTGGTGCTTCTGGTGATTAGAATGCCCAAGTTCAAATTTGTCCTCTGTTGAGCTTCATCTGGGCGGACAACATGGTGAAGGCTCCCGTAATGATAACAATGAGCGGTTGATAAACCCGTGTGAAGATGCTCGTCTCTTTCTCGCGAGCACTAACTCGACATAGCACCCACAGAAGAGTGGCTTGACGCCCACCAGCATTGGACCAACCATGAACGCAAATCGATCACATCGCGATTAGTTACCGCTGGAGAGGCTGTGTCCAAAACTGTCGCCCGATTTGGAGCAACAGCGTAGACTCTAATCACGTACTTGCGTGTGCCGATCTTCGGGTGCGTTTCGGCGGACGTCCACAACGTCGCTCTGATTTCATTGACACCAGCCAGCTGGCGAAGCCAGGTGTTCTGAAAGCGTATCAAAGTATGCTGGTATCCGAGCTGGCTAAGCGCCCCCTGAGCACCGTCGAACATCACTGGTTGCATATTCGCCAAACGTTACTATCAGCAGCCACGTTTTCATGTGCCAAATCATATTCCCAACCTACACATTGCGTCTCTAGAAAGTCTCTGGAACTTATGGATACTCGCCAACACATTCCGGCTGGAAGCGAACACAACGAGACTCGCAAAAATCTCAGGGAAAATCTGCATGCTAGCCTGAAGAAAGACCGCGAAGCCTGGTGGTCTTATTGTGCAACAAAAATGTAAACAGCTGCTGCCGTTGGTAATCATCATAAGTTATACCGTCTGATACGGAAAACAGGCAGCAGGAGACCTGGTGTTGGCGAGACAGTATGCGACGAAAGTGGACAGCCGATCCACAGCCTGTCAAAACGCTAGGAGCGTTGGACCGACAACTTTGCAAGGCACGTTAACCAATCTGAGTTCTCGCTTTCTTTTTCAAGCTGTCTCCTTAGATCAGCCCTCACGAGCAGAAGTCGAAGGTGATATCAGATTGTTGAAATTGCATAAGACCGCAGGGGCAGATAAAATTTCTCCAGCCCTCTTCAAATTCGGGGGACCTGCTCTTGTAGATGATTTACCAGTGGAACTTTGGAAGCAGAAAACTGTCCTGACAGACTGCAACCGCACCTTCACAATTCCAATTTTATAGGGAGGCTCCTGTTCAGAATGCGGCAGTCATCGAGAGATCAGTCTGATCTCAATTGCCTCTAAATTGCTTACGCCTTCCTTCTTCACAGACTGACTGACGCTCTTGAAAGCCAGATCCGCGAACAGCAAGCCGGGTTTCGTCGAGGTCAGGGCTGCATCGAACACATGTTCACTTGGCGTCCGTTGTTGGAACACGGTCATGTTTATTGGCGACCCATCTTTGTCGTGTTTCTCGACATCAAAGGTGCTTTCGATTCGGTGGATCGATATCCCCTTTGGGACTGTCTGCTGAGATAAGGTGTGCTCGATCAATACGTAAACATTATCCAAGCGTTGCACGCGCATAGTTCGGGCACAGTGAGGGTTTATGGCAAACTGTCGCCGCACTTCAGTATCTCCAGCGGTGTGAGACAAGGTTGCCTGCTGTCACCTTTCCTATTTAACTTCGCTATTGACGAAGTCATTGAAGCAGCCTTCGCTGGAGACGATCTAGAAAGTGTGGAGCTACCTCCTGGGGAGCGACTTCATGACTTGGAGTATGCGGACGATATTGTACTCATCTGTGACAGCTCCCAAACATGCCAAGCAGTACTGGACCGATAATCACGGGCTGTCTATCGTTTTGGACTATGCTTTGCTCCAAGGAAATGCAAGTTACTTCTCCAAGGTTAGCAAGAACACGTCCATGTGCTGACTCTTTGTGGTGATCAACTAGAAGTCATTCAGGAAATTAAGTATCTGGGCAGCTGTATTAGCACCCGTAGCACCAAAGATGAGGTTACGAACCGTATAGCAAACGCTCGAGCTGCTTGTGCCAATCTCCGTCACCGGTGGCGTAGACGCAACATCACTCTCGCCCTGAAGGGCAGAGTGTACAGCCGTCCGCTCAAGCCTCTTGTACGGCTGTGAAAACAGGCCCATCAGATCAACAGCCATAAAGAGGCTAGTGACGTTCGAGCATCGCTGTCTTCGCAGCTTAGCTCATATTTGGTGGGAACACCGCGTTAGCAATGAGCGTGTTCGGCGTCGCGTATTTTGTACAAGAAGAGCTAGTGAACCGCTTAGCACCATTATATCACGCACCAGGCTCCCATGGCTGGGCCACGTGTTGCAATGCCAGCCCACCGATTGCCGCAACGTGCATTGTTTGCGCACCGGGCGTGCGGTTGGAAGAGGAGGAGGGGAGGTCAAGAGATATGAAAACCCTCATTTCGAAGTTGGCGTCGGTTGGATCATGCCGACTGCCTGGCTGGGGTCCTAAGGACGATGGACACGTTTGGTTGGGCACAATTGTTGATATGCCAAATAGCCGGCCCCAATAGCGTTTGTGTTGTGACTTTCTTTGTCCATCGCCCTCCCTTTGAGAGTCCCCCTCCAACTCCGATCTCATACGAAATGCATAATATAATATCTAACATTATATTACATGCATTTTAATTCTTTTTGTAGTGTAAGCTTTTTATATCTTAACTTTTTGTATTGCGGGACATTAGCTGAGATGCGTTTCGCAATCTCAACTAACATGTACTGATGATATCATCTCATTCTTAGTCACTCCAGATGAATGAAATTTATACAAAAATGAGAGGACTTTCCTTCTACGCTGCCCGTTTGCTATTCTTCTCTGTCACCCGCTACTTAATATTGTGATTTACCACCGCTTGTGTTACTCCACTGGACCTATTGCTCCACTGTGACATTTCCCTATTTCCCATGGCAGTATTTCAAAGTCCTAGATAAGACGATGACGCCACTGTCTCGATGTTGTGGCATTCCGAAGCCGATCTTTGTTGACATTCTTGTGTCTACTCATACCAGTTCATGCAAAATGTTTGCTTCAAAAATACTCACCGATGCAAGTCACCCCCTTCATGGGGCACTGTCTGATGGCGTAGCAACTTCCCCAATCAGACAAAACTATAGATCCGTTTGTACTGCTACAAGTGTTTACCACTCATCCATGATTCCTTATTCGGCGCGTTTTTGGGTAATCAGGTCTCAGTTGTTCAGGAGTTTTGTAAGTAATTTTGCATTACGACTATATTGCTGTCTATACCAGTTAGTAACCTAATTGTATATTCACGATTATACAATGCTGAATGCGTGTGTGTAGCAGCTGGATATTCACCCTTATGGGTGCATAAAACACCTCCCTGAATTGAATTGTATTGGGGCTACGGTTTACTTTGGAGCAAACTCCTGTCATTTCGATCACTGGAACCGTATCCGAAGTGAAGTGTTTCCGAGCTGCAGTCCGAGCACTGCTCGCGAAGCTCTGGCTTAGTCACCTGTATGAGTCGTGTTCCACTCAGAAACCCAAAACTCAACTTCTAACCGCTGCTCGCGAAGCTCAATGGCCTAATGATCACGGCGATAGCCGCTAACAACTAGGTGCCCAGTTCCACTCCTAGATCAGACTATCTATATCTGACGAGTCCAAATGAGGACGTAACCGTCGGCTGTGAAGTGCAGTGTTCGAAGCGAACAGTTCCGAAACTCTCCTCTTCGGATGCTGTCACAGTATTTGAAATGTCTGAGATTTGCTTCGAGGTAAACCGTGGCCCCAATTGCGTGTTGCACTCCAGACACATGGAGGGTGCTCCAGGGCCCAACAATCATTGGTCGATCTTCCAACTCGGTTTCTGAACAACGAGTATTTGGTTTTGCAAAAACGTACTCTGAGTAGTAGCCCTACAACCTTAAGCTCCAGCAGCGTCAACTACAGATTTATACATTGGTCACGTGGTGTCGGGCACCAAAAGCTCAAAAACTTCGCTGCTGAAGAGATTACTTGTTAGTAGTAGTGAATATATTTAGGGGCTTTTTCACATAAGTGAGCACAAAAGCACCCACTGACATTCACTTTCGTGATGCTGTCTCTTCACAACCTAACACTGATTGTCTGGATAAGTACGAGCCGGTGCTCTCTAAGTGGGCTCCTAAATGCCATTAAACAGCGTGCGGCATTCGCTTATACTCTTCTTTGTTACTTCGGCATATGTTACTCACTGAGACTGCGCAATATTGTACTGAGTCACAATGTGGCGGGTCGATGGTATGGCAATAGGAGCAGATATTAACCGATACACCGCGTCTCTTCTTTTCAGGTTGTGGTCAGTGGATCATTATTGGGATTCCTGCCTGATGTTGTGCTCGCTGGAAGCTCCAGATATGTAACAAATAGAATCCAAGAACAAGAATGGTGTTCCGCTTTTCGGCTATTGCATTCGCAAAGAAGCGTCTCAACTGAATGCAGTTTATGTGCCAAGGTTACATCTTCCCCGGTCTTCCTATATTATTACTGTTATGATTAGCTGCTTCCGCTGGCACATTGCAAACCTAGCCGTGAGTTCTTTTTTGTACATTATGCTATCGTAAAAACCATGGTAAAAGAACTATCTTATAAAAGCTGATGCCCCCAACTGTCCGTATAGTGTAGGTTTATAACTCAAAGTAGCAACATTTACATATGTTTCTTGGTACATAATTAGATTCAGTATAGTTTTATCGTTACAGAGGTTTTGACACATACTCCAATCGAAAGTCATCTGGAGTGGATAAAAGTAAATCGGGGATGGGTTCGGCCGGGACACCATACACAACGACCGACCGACCCACAAGATACTTGAGTTTGCACGCTGAGCTGGCCTGCGTCAAGCAATAGCGGAGTGACTTGCAAGCATCGCCATTTTTGGGGTCTTGGTTCGTAAACAGCCATTGACCGAGGAGACGCCAAGTGAATCGATCCATATCTCTGTCAGTTACGTCCCACAGAAGACCAGCAACGAACGGGCTACGGATGGAAAAAGGACGACAACCATGAGGAGGGAGAAGGAAGGAAACAAACGAGGCGAGGAACAGACCATTTAAATTATTGATGGGGGGAAATTTTCAAAGGTAACACAGGTAAGATAATTGACTTCAGCAAGCTACAATAGAGAATGATAACACACTAAGATCCATTCAGGATGAGTACAGAAAGATGAAGATGAATCGGGGTTAGATGAGATATGGGGAAGTTCATGAAGAAGGGGCCTCTAAATCTAAAGGTAATTCAAGACATTTCGTCACATTTTCGATTATTTGGCGATAACTCCGGAAAAGCGCGGACATTCGTAAAAGCTGATGGTAACTCGGAGATCAGAGAATTCTGGTAAAGAAACAATGCAAGGGATGAAATGTGGGAAATGCGTTAGATGCTAATCGAGGTAGTACCCATAATACAAGGGTGAAAATGCTCTTCTGTTCAGCTGAACAACTATGATCCGAAAACGGAAGTGCGGTGGATCCAGTTTCCACAACTTATATCGCGAGAATAACAATAAACAGATAACAACGACAAGATAGTGGGGTTAAAGACAAATAGAATGTGACGAAATAGAAGGAAGGGAGTGCGTTAAACTAATCAGAATGGAATAAAAATTAACGACCAGATGGCAAAAACCGAATGCGGGAACGCCACTGATTGCGCCACGTCTGATAAAATCTCCAACCGTTGGTGTGACCATCCAGACGCTCACATTCACGAAGACGACACGCATCAGTCTGTTTACGTTTCTTACTAAACTTCTTCATGCCTCTATGCCACCTCATGGACTGAATCCCTTGCGGTTGCGCCCAAATTGGTGTACCCACGGCGTATAATGTATGTTGAGGAAGCTGATCAACGGGCATAGAGATACCATGGCCTAGCCAACGTAAGCGATGGAGTTTCAACAAACACTCCAGTAAGGTACCAGAAGGCTCCTTGCCAAAAACCAACTGGCGGACCTACGCACTGCGCACACGGTGCTGCCATCAGACGTGAGCAATAATCCGCAAACATCAGTGGTCAAACACGACTAGGCGTTTAATGTCTTCACCGCGAACTGACCAGGTGTCTGATCCATACATTAATACCGGCATTATCGCAGTTATACACCCCATCTTTCAGTGACAGGCTGATACCCCACCGTCCCCATAGATGGTTGAATCTCTGGAGAGCCACACGGGCCATGCTGACAGGCGAAGTAAACACCTCAGTGATGTGACCACCAGAGGGGACGCAGCTACCAAGGTAAGTGAGCCGATCCACCAGTTCCAGTGATTGCACAGTAATAGCTAAAAACGGACGTGCGTAGGTCCAGCCATCCAACAGTACTTTGCACCTTGGAAGTGTCAAGCACATATAGAAGCGTGTAACGCTAGGCACCAGTCTATTCAGTAGTGTTTGCATAACCACTGAGTCAGACCCAAAGGGAGCTAGTCATCCGCATACACTCCAGGTTTTTCAGTCAGTCACATGGAAGAACTACCATCCATGTAGATTCTGAAAGACCGATGCATTCATTATCATTTCGATCACAAAGTTGAGGAGGAAAGGATGTATAGAGACAATGGGGTTAAAACTTCGTCTGGTTAAGAGTCAAAGCACATCCGCCTGAGCTGATAGATCCATGGTGCATGTCCTGCTGCCTCTCGGGAGTACATGTTATCAAAGGCACTGGCTGAGAACTATTAAGCCAGGCGATCCGGTGCCTTAAAAGTACAACGTCGTCCCACACCCTTGACCATGAACTGCACTCTCACCCACTGCCCTACTGTGATTCATATGCATGAGGCCGCCGACTATGACACACACACACACACACACTTTAACCTATATCGTCGGCTGTCTTAGCTGTTTCAAGTGACTTGCCATCTGGTCAATACACTGTCCGGTGGGGTGAAAGTCTTTGTTCTGACGGTTCTACGCCCCACAAACCTTGATTATAGCATTGGCGACACAGATGGCTGATCACTCACAGCAAACCCGATTACTACAACAGAGGCAAGATTACAACGAGCAGCAACAGCGAACCATGCTTCAACAAGAACAGACAGGTAATGTTATTCCACGTACTCAGAGAGAAGCTGTCAACCATAAAACTAACATTTACTACAGTGAAAACCGAATCAACTTCAGCTAGAGCGTTGACAAATGGAACGCAAGATTTCCAATATGATGCAAGGAATGTCATCACACTCGCAACCTGGTAAACGCAATAGGAAGACATCACTGGTTGACGGCTGGCTTGCCGAACAACCTCATCGTGGTGCCAGCTGGGTGGTTCGGGATTTTCCCGTTCCAGCAAATGGTTCGGCGGCAGTGTTCCAGGACGTGGTGGGTTTTCGCATGGCAAGCGTTCTCCCTATAAAAGCCACATATGTCCGTTTAACAACACTGTGACGTGGCGGACGTGACTCGCCACTAAATAAAGTCACTGCCCCTTGCTTCATCCTGGCGCAGCATGCTATTCCAGCAAGTTTATGCTGTACTTCTGGGGAGCATTGGGCCCCTGTTTGACAAAGGAACAAACGAAAGGCGTCTGAACTGAGCAATCAGTCACCGGCTCCCAATGGGCGCGATTCCCTGAATTCATTCCGCTGCCTTGCGGGCAGGCTATTCAGTCAAAGGATCGGGGTAGTGTCCCCTAAGTCAACACCCTACTTCGGCTTGGGCAACCGGGTGGTATCTCGCCCACTGACGAAGCCATGGATTTTGATGTGTTGTGTTGTGTTTTCTTTTACTATTTCTGTACCTTGTTTTGAGTTCCATGGTTTCCGATTGCTCAATGCCTATTCATAGACTGTTGCAAAAAAAACTGGTTGACCCGATTACACTTGATGATGCGGCCAAAGTACGGTTGTTGTGAGACTGAGACTGAGACTGTATTTGAGAGCAAGTAGAAAGGTTTCTGTACAACTCTATCGAATTACGAAAAATCAAAATTTACTTGTGAATTATCAGCAGTTGTGTCTGGTCCGTTAATCGTTTATCCTTGTTCGGTTAGAAATTTGTACTAGCGTCATTATTTCCGGACATACAATGTCTTCTTTTGGCACTGTATGTGCATCGTTTCACAAAAACACAGGTTTCCAAAATAATCGTCTATACGGGTTTTAAAACACTTCACAGAATCGACCTCTATTAATCCTTCTGGTAGTGTATTCCATAAGTTTACGATTCTTCGTTCGATACAAAGCTGATGTGATACTTTGTTCATGCTGGGGACCCTGAGTTTGTAACGATGTCCTCAGGTGTTACAGGGTTCTCGCAGGTGAAATATTGGCTGCAGTATGGGGAAGTGATTCAAGTGTAGTACTCGATGGGTCATAATAAGATCAATTCTTACTCGGCGATAGGATAGTGTGTAGAGTCCGAGCTTTTCGCAACGTTTTTCATATGGAAGCTTTCGTAGACTTGGTATCATTCTAGTTGCGATATGCTGCATTTTCTCCAGTTTTTCATTGAGTTATCGGATGGTAAGCTGGGGCACCGTATTCAAGGATTGGTCTAATGAGTGAGGTGAATAGACGAGGGACAGTTTCTTCGGACCATGTGGAGAAACTGCGTCTTAATGCCCAGAGCATACGAAGTCCCGCACGGTACAATTTTTCTGTATTTTCTAGTGATCTTAAATCATGTCGTGAGAGAACTCCTAAGTCTCTGACAGATGTGTTGGGATGGAGCAACTGGCCGTCCAAGGTGTATGATCGAGTGGCTGGACGTCTGGTGATACTGATGAACTCCGACTTGCTTGCGTTAAGAGGGAGTTGCATTTCAGTGGACCACGTTGACAGTCGCTCTAAGTCATGCTGGAGGCGAGCGCAGTCGTCCTGGCTTTCAATGATCCTCCAGATTTTCAAATCATCTGCAAACAGGACACATGGTGACTGGAGCTGCTGCGGAAGATCGTTGATATGAATAAGAAATAATACTGGCCCAAGTACAGTTCCTTGAGGCACGCCACTGGTCGATGGGAACCATTCTGTCAGATAGTCATTGACCTGTACTCTAAACCTTCGTCCCACAATAAACCCTTGTATCTACTGAAGTAACGTGTCACCGATTCCGTATGTCCTCAGTTTACGAAGGAGTACCTCGTGGTTTACTCTGTCAAACGACTTACTAAGGTCGATGTAGACCACGTCAACATCCTTCTGTTCATTGAGAGCTCGAACCCACTGGTGGTTTGCGTACATCAAGTTGGTGATGCAGGATCGTCCTTTCGTAAAGCCGTGTTGCGCTGGCGTCAATACGTCCATCGATTCGAAGAAGGACAGCAGACACTTTTTCACAACCTTCTCGAGAACTTTGGATAATACCGAAGTCAAACAGATCGGTCTATAGTTCTCTATTTTACTCGGATCACCACCCTTGGGATCGAAGACGAGATCACGAACCGCATAGCGAAAGCTCGAAGTGCTTTTGCTAACCTTCGCCACCTATGGCGACGGCGCGACATTACTCTCGCCCTGAAGGGTAGAGTGTACAATGCAGCGGTACGTTCGACCTTACTGTACGGTTGCGAAACCTGGCCCCTAAGATCGGCGGACATGAAGAGGCTACTTACGTTCGACCATCGGTGCCTTCGCAGTTTGGCTCACATCTGGTGGGAACACCGCGTGAGTTACGAGCGTGTTCGACGCCTTGTTTACGGCCTAGGAAAAGGGAATGAACCGCTCAGCACCGTCATTTCACTCACCAGGCTCCGATGGCTGGGCCACGTGTTGCGCATGCCAGCCCACCGACTCCCGCGACGTGCGTTGTTTGCTCACCGGGGATGTGGGTGGAAGAAGAGGAGGGGTGGCCAAGCGATGACTTGGTCCAGAGGAATGAAGGCCCTCACTTCGGAGCTGGCCTCAGTTGGAGTTTCACGGCTCCCTGGTTGGGGTCCAAAAGACGGTGAACACGTTTGGCTGGATACACTTGCTGATATGGCAAGGAGCCGACCTCAGTGGCGTTCCTGCTGTGAGTTTCTTTGTCCCTCC